GAGGCCTGAATAAGGAACCGGCAATATTCCAGGCAGAGGGCGCAGCGTGCTTAAAAGCCGTGGTGTGTGAACTAGCTTACTGAATGGGAGCAGAGAGACATGAGTAGATGCGTGAACAGGTAGAAGGAAAAATCAAAAGTACAGACAGAACGTAGTGTTGGAAGGTTGAACTCTGGCACTTCGCTGGTTAGAGGAGCCACTCGCGGAACTGGGGCACTCCGGAGGAGAAGAGATTTTGGAGACAGGCCTTTCCCCTGTGGGGCTGCTTCCCGTCCGTACAATAGGCTGAGCAGATTATATGACAACCAAGCTTAGTGCTAGTTCTTACTATGCTCCTCACACTTTACTAAACTCCAAATGGATCCAAGACTGCAATACAAAAATAAGCCCTCAAAGTAACAGAATAAACCATGGAGGGCAGTTAAAAAATTAAAATTAAAAAAAAAAAACAGAGTGAGGAAGGCCTTTCAAACTTTTCAAACTACAACACAAAATCCAGAATCAAAGGTAAGTAAGAAATGGATAAGTTTGATCCCAAAATGTTTTTGCATGGCAAAAAAAAAAAAAAAAACTAGGCAAAAAAAGTCAACAGACTAGGGAAAAAATATTTGCAACTCATTTGACAAAGAGCTGATTTCCCTATTATATTGTGAGCTCCTATGAAAAAAATAAGAAAAATGGTCAAAAGATACAGAAAGTAAAATATGTGTCTCTAAGACATGAAATAGGTGTGTCTCTAAAACATGAAAAAAGGCTCACTCCACTCAAAATAAGATTTCAATTTACACTACCCAAGCTACCATTTTTCAGCTATCAGATTGACAAAGATCATAAAGTTTGATAACAGTGTTGATAAGGAGATGGAGAATTGAGCAATAGTTATCAAAGCTACTTTTGCTCACACCCTTTGACTACTTCTAGGAATAGATTCTACATATATGTACATGCCAAGTTACTCTGCAATAGTCATTACAAAATGTTATCTCAACGCCCTTCACTAGGGCACTGATGAATGAATGACTGTGTACAAACACTAGGAGCCATAAAAATAGTCTGGAGGAGCTCCTTTTGTACTCTTACGGAGTGATTTTCAAAACAGATGAAGCGCAGAACTGTGTGTACAATACACTACACTACCATTTGCTTTATGTGCAAAATACCCCAACGCACATTTAAGAAACTGACCATCTTCATTTTCTCTGGAGAGGGAAATTAGGCAACCAGAGGAGAGAGGGGAAGACTTCTCACTGTATATCACTTGAATCAGTTCATGAATTACAGTTGCAAAATATAATTTAAAAAACAAATATATGCTCTAACCGATTTGGCTCAGTGGATAGAGCTTCGGCCTGCGGACCGAAGGGTCCCGGGTTCGATTCTGGTCAAGGGCATGTGCCTTGGTTTCCGGCACATCCCCAGTGGGAGGTGTGCAGGAGGCAGCTGATCGATGTTTCTCTCTCATTGATGTTTCCAACTCTGTCCCTCCCCCTTCCTCTCTGTAAAAAATCAATAAAATATATTTTTTAAAAAATACAAACAGGAGGGAAAAACTTGTGGTTCTAGGTAAACTGGGTTAGTGAGAAGGGAACTAATATTTGAGCTCCTACCACGTTCCAGATTCTGTTCCAAGGTCTTCCACATACACCACCCTGTTTAGTTATGCCGGTATTCCATTGAGACGGGATAAATTCTTCTAATTTTTCAAGTTAGGAAGTAGGTTAAATTGCCCAGGTCGTCTAGTCAATGTCAAGCCTAATCTCGCTCCCAAGCGCCAGCCTTCTCCACTCCCCACACGGCTCCTATTGAAGCAAACTGTCCTATTTTTAAAACCATATTGGTATTATTTACTGGGCACTTGTTAAGTGCTGGGAGCAGTGCAAAGTGCGTTACGTAATCATCCTCAAGACAACTCGGAAAGGTAGGAATTTCCATCCCCCTTTACAGAGAGAAGACAAACGAGGCTCGGAGAGGTGGCGCCACAGGGAGCCCAAGGTCACAGACACAAGCCGGCTTTAATGCCAAAGCTCCGGCTCTAAACTGGAAACCACTCCCGGTTCAAACGACAAAAGCGTGAATGCCGGGCGGGCGGGTGAGGAAGCGCGGGCACTTCCGCCGAGAGGGGCAAAGCCAACGGCGGCCGCAGCCCTCGCGACGGTGAGCTCGCGAGAATACGTCCCGGGGGGGAGGGGCGAGGAAAAAAAGGAAGCGAACGCGCGTTCCCTCCCGTTACCCACCCCTCCCCGCAGGAGACGGAAAGCGCGCGCCCGTGAAGTGCGTGCTCGCGTACGTCGCTCGGGTTCGGCTGCGTCGGTCTCGCCGCCCGCCCGTTGCCGCCGTCGCCGCTGCCGCCGTCGCCGCCGGGATGCCGCGGGTGTACATTGGCCGCCTGAGCTACCAGGCCCGGGAGCGCGATGTGGAGCGCTTCTTTAAGGGCTACGGGAAGATTCTGGAGGTGGATCTGAAGAACGGGTGAGGAGGGCGCAAGATGGGGCCGCCGGGTGGGGACAGGGCCCCGGCTGTCGGGGGAAGCTGGGGGGCAGGAAGAG